CGACAGCACAAGTTCAAGATCAACGGTGAAAAGTGCGAGTTTGGCCGCACCCGTATCTTGTACTTGGGTCATGAGATCTCCGCGGAAGGGTTGAAGCCCGATGACGCGAAGGTGGCCAGCATTCGTGATTGGCCACGTCCTCAGTCCGTGACTGAGATGAGATCGTTCTTAGGAATGACAGGCTACTACAGGACTTTCGTTAAGAACTACAACATAGTGGCCGCTCCTTTGACTGATCTGACCCGCCTTGACACCCCTTGGGAATGGACAGATGAGTGCGAGGCTGCTTTCAGACATCTGAAGCATGCATTGACGCACTATGAAGTCTTGAAGCTACCCGATCCTGATAAGCCATTTATAGTAACCACGGATGCTAGCCAATATGGCATTGGCGCCGTGCTTGCGCAGCAGGAGGGGTCAAAGTTGAGGCCAGTAGAGTACATGCCCAAGAAAATGCCGTCTCAGAAGTTGGCTAAGTCCACTTATGAGAAGGAGCTCTATGCGGTGTACAAGGCTCTCACCCATTGGAGACACTACCTCCTTGGGCGGTTCTTCATCCTCCGGACTGATCATCAGACCCTGAGATGGATGAGAACTCAGCCAGTACTCTCTGACGCTTTTAAGCGTTGGATCGAAGTCATTGAGCAATATGACTTTGACCCTCAGTATCTTAAAGGGGAGTACAACAAGGTTGCTGATGCCTTGTCGCGCAGACCGGATTTCTCAGGTGCGCTGATTACTGAAGTCGGCCTGACGGACAATGTTACTCAGTCTTTGGTGGAAGCCTATCATCAGGACCAGTTTATGTCTGAGATCATACGCAGACTGGAGGCGAAGGATAAAAAGACCTCCGCCGAGTTTGAGTTGGTCAATGGATTGCTGTTCCTAGAGAAGGCAGGGAATAAACACTTGTGTGTTCCAAATAGCGAGTCTTTGCGTAGTTTGTTTTTAGGTGAGTGTCATGATGTCACCGGTCATTTTGGGTATAAGAAGACCGCAGCCAACTTGCTGCAGCGATTCTGGTGGCCCACGATGATGCGAGATGCACAGCTGTATGTGGAGACTTGTCAAGTTTGTCAACGGGACAAGCCCCGTACTCAAGCTCCTCTCGGGCTGCTTAAGCCCCTTCCGATTCCGGAAAGGCCAGGTGAAAGCTTGTCCATGGACTTCATGGATACGCTGATCACCAGCAAGAGTGGAATGAGGCAGATCTTCGTCATCGTGGATAGATTAAGTAAGTATGCTAGATTAATAGCCATGCCGGAAACAACAAAGACCAAGTACGTAATCAAACTGTTCAAGGAGAACTGGGTCAGAGACTTTGGACTACCAAAGTCTATTGTTAGTGACAGAGACGTACGGTTCACTAGTGAACTGTGGAAAGCCGCTGCAGCTGAACAGGGAACTCAACAAGATGACTTCTGAAAGCCATCCAGAAGCTAATGGCCAGGCGGAGCAGATGAACCGCACTATGCAGCACCTGTTGAGGCACTACATCAAGCCTAACCAGGTGGACTGGGACGAAAAGCTTGCTTTAGTTGCCAGTCTGTATAACAATGCTGTACATAGTGCTACGGGGGTGAGTCCTAACAGTCTGCAACTAACGTTTAAGCCTAGACTGCCCTTAGACTTTCTCCTACCTGACAATCAGCCAGACACTGCACCCGGCACTCTAGAGTTTGCCTATCGTTATGAACAGAAGATGCAGGAGGCTGTAGAACACATGCAGAAGGCACAATCTGCAATGATTGAGTCCGAAAATAAACATCGCCGCCATTCTGCATTTCAGGTTGGGGACAGAGTCTGGGTCAAGTCCTCTGAACTTGGACAAGAGTTTGGGATATCTCGCAAACTCATGCCTCAGTACTTTGGGCCTTGGGAGGTCTTGGACATAGTTGGGACAGATCCAGATGGGCCATCCTATGTCATCCGTATCCCTGGTCACCTGCGCACCTACCCTGTATTTCACACCTCCAAGCTCGCTGCTTTTAAGCAGACCGACCAATTTCCTACTCGCCGTTCTATGTTGCCCCCAACCATGGATGAAGAAGTCGACATCGATGATATCGTCGATCACAGAGAGATACCCGTTCAGAAGCCTCCAGGAAGAGGACGTCCTCCCAAGCCAAAGCTGCAGTTCCGTGTTCACTTCAGACATCATACAGATCCGAAGGAGGACCGCTGGTTTACTCGGGAAGAATTGATGCAGACCGCCCCTCAGATCGTTGCCCGCTATGAGAGGGATGTTTTGAAAGGAAAGCACCAGCTGGCGGCAGACTGATCTTCTCAGAGGACTAACGAAGATATGGAGGGAATGCGAGGCTATGCCCGCTTAGCCCTACGGGCCTTATTTGCAACAAGGTCGGCCGCCCTAAGTGAAGGCAGGCACGACAGGCCCTCAGGGCCTCGT